CATACTCAGCAAGTGACTTGTTAAAACCAAATAGTATCTATTTGCTGTGAGGATCAGATGTAAATATTTGTATCTGTGCTACACAGTATTATTTGAGCAATTTACTGACAAGAAAAGCTCCTCCCAAGGAAACAATTGAAACATGATCATATTTTGAGGACACAGATACCAATGCCACTTCTTTAGAACAGGTCTAACACCTGCCAACTTGATGTGAGGATGAAGTGACTCTATACCTTTCCAGCTAACCAGGAAAGAAAAGTCTTTTGAAGCCAACACAGGAAACTCCACATCAGGCACTGATTGTTCATGACAGATTCTGACTCAAAAACAGGATATGAGAAAACTCAACAGGAAGGGCTTTTTACATCCTTTTTCAGTTTATCCTGGTTTTTGGAAATAGGCTAGAACTCTGTTCAAAATTTTGAGATCCCAGGTTGACTGTCTGGGATCACTCCCTCTTCAGACACCAGCAGTTTTCACCAATAGTGGGGTAAGCCACACATTTAACTGAACTTCGGTTAACTCTGCCAGTTGTAGGAAAATTTATTTACTAGTAAATGCTGAAGTATATAGAAAGAGTAATGCTTTGAAAAATCTATGGCTGAAATTACATTTTGTGGTCCCAAAATAAAGACTAAAATCTTCTGTGAAAAGATCAGAAAGCAGTGAATATACTAAGGCACAGAACTGCCATCCTTATGTGGATATGTAACAAATACGTAACAGCACACCTAAGGAATAGATAACAACTGTAATACTCTTCAATTGTGTAACTCTGATGTAATCTGTAACAGCTTCCCATCTGTCCGCAGAATATAAACACATACACATATATTTGTGCATTCAGACATTGTTAAAGTCCTACATCAATCCTCCTATCTTCTGATTTATGTTATAATGAAAACTGGTTTGGTAGTTAGCACTTAGTTGGCAAAAAAAAGTAGTGATCTTAAGTCGTAATTAAAAATTTTAATTAAGAAAAAGCAGCTCAAGTTAACCACTACAATTTCTAAAATAGATTGTCTGGGAAAAAATTCTCTTTTCAAGCATTCCAGTAACAGTAACACACAAGGAGAGGCAGAGGCACACAACACATTATCTAGTTTTGAGTTTCTGGTCTTGTAATAAAAGAGCTACCAGGATATGGCAATAAGCTTAATTCAAATTGTATTACAAAAAAAATTAAAGAGATTATAGCCTGGCAAATTCTTACCCACAATGTCATTTCTAGGCATTATTCCACATTTTTGAGTCTTTCTGCTTTTATACTGCAGTTGTGAGACTTCTGGAATGCTTTGCTAACACATCAGGTGATAAACAATGTAGTTAAGAATTCCACATTGTTACTATTATAATTTGCATAGCAATAAAATATTCATTGTAGAACAGTCCGCAGATTAAAACGACAAGCTAGAAATCACTAGCTAGAAATCCATGAGGTCTTCTAAAAGAGAGAACTGGGAAAATACAACTTAGCAAAGGTGTTGGGAGGACTATCAGGCAATACTTTAGGAATAAAATAGGTTAATTCATATGAAATTATTTCAGTTCTCCTGTGATGTACTACAGTCATGCAGGCATCTCTGCTGCCTTCCATTAAGAAAGTGCAAAAGCACAGGTAAGTAGTCACTCAAAGAAAAAGCACGTCCAGTCCTTTAAATGAATCAAAGCTAAATAAGTATTCAGTCAGTCCCAATGTTGTTCTTTATTTGAAATACCACCATTTACCTTCTCAAAGAGCTTAATACTGACTCAAAGGAGAAGTCTGATCTTCCTATCTCAAAAAAAGTTTTAACTTTAATTCTTTATTTTAAACTGGAGTTTATGCTTACTGCAGTGGAAAGGATAAAAATCTTCTGAAAATTAAGATGTGAGTTATTAGATAAATTATAGCAAAAGAAAAGATTCTCATACAAGGGTTCCTTCTCATATAAGGTCTCCAGAGCATCAGCACATAGGTTCCATGGGTAGGGCAATGGAACTTACCTTTCTTCTCTACTTACATACACAAGTGTGCAAACACATATGAACATATCTACATATTAACAAATAGTAGCCTCATATACATGCATACAAATGCAAGCAGTTCAGTACCACTGTTGTCCTAGTTCATATTGGTCAGTATAAATTTGTATTTTAAGGTAATGACTGTACAGTTAAGGACTATAACATGTCTTAAAGCAGCAAATTAGTTTAAATCTAAAAGACTGATGTTCTAAATCAACACTACAATTTTAATTTAATACAACTTCATAGAATCATAGAATGGTTTGGTTGGAAGGGACCTTAAAGACCACCCAGTTCCAACTCCCCTGCCATGGGCAGCGACAACTTCCACTAGACCAGGTTGCTCAAAGCCTCATCCAGTCTGGTCTTGAACACTTCCAGGGATGGGGTAGCCACAACTGCTCTGGGCAACCTGTGCCAGAGCCTCATCACCCTCATCACGAAGAATTTCTTCCTCATATCTGATCTAAATCTACCCTCTTCCAGTGTAAAGCCATTGCCCCTTGTCCTACCACTACATGGCCTTGTAAAAAAAAAAAAAAACACACCACCACATACAAAACCAAAAAACACAAGCAACCAAACAAAAAACAAATCAAAACAAAAAAATCAAAAAACCCAAACCACAACTTTTTATAGTAGGCATTACATCTTTAAATTTTGGAACATTTTATTCTTAAAAAACTAAGAACTACTTCATAATCTCATTTCCAGTTAATTTAAGAAAAACACTTTTTTTTCAGTAGAAGCTGATTCCTTATTTCATCTCACCCTCTGAAAAAGAGCCAACATTACAATAAATACCTAACTCATTTGAAACAGGAAGCTGAGTTCATTCTGTATTACTAATCCTTTAGCAAGTCATCAGTAACTAAATTCTGGACATAATTTTTTACCTGATAACTAATAATTGCATAATGCAATGAACAAGACCTTGTGCTGTTCATTTTCTTTGTGAAAGCTTTTTGTGAAAGATCAGAAGTGATGAGTTTGCATTAAGGTCATTCCACTTAATTTACCAAGCTAAAACAATACCAGTAGGAACTGGACAGCTAACAACTATTAAGAATAGATCTTAAAAAGTATTTTCCCTGTACATACTCTTAAATCTTTTAAATAATGCAGAAATTCAAAAAATAGGAATTGTGATGAAAACTGTCAGTCTTCTACACCATGGGCCATGTAGCTACCAAAAATGCAGACACTGGACTGGCATCTTGATATCTTCTCATCTATTGTAGCCTAATGCTTACATTTACTTAGTAAAAGCCTGTCCATATCCTACAGCTTGTACATTTTAAGTTCAGTTAACTTCTTTGATAGCGTTCTTTCAACACTTACAAATAAATGAGTTTATTCTCAAAACCTTTCACTGCTCTAAGCTGCATCGCTTGGACTTTATCCCAGAGGGAATGCCCTTGGACATTTTCAGTATTGCACACAAATATATTTTCTAAAAATTAAATTTAATAGCAATTTTGAAATATAATTTATTTTTAAGTTTTATTGTGGATTTCATCCATTAAACTACTGCACAGCAGCTCTGATATCACAAAACTTTTGCTTAGCATACTTGATTTTAGTGTTTTCCGTTCACTCAGGTAGTTAATATTCTTGATAGACTTAATGCACAAAAAGGTCTCTGAGATACTGGACATAATCCCGTAATACCTGCAGAGGCAACCAGGATAACTGTTTTTTTAGTTGGAGTAAGTTCAACAAGCATTTAAATACAGAGAATCAAAACAATTAATGTCTAAAACAAAAGGAAAAAAATGCTTGATGTAAGAAAAAGAACCTTCAAAAATGAAAATCCTAGCAAATATGCACACTCTATTTTAGCAATCTCATGTCCTCTAAAGCTACAAATGGTACCTGCAAGTTTTTAATAAGGCAACTGACTGAACAAAAGTTAACTACCTATCAGCTAACACCAATACGTCAAATTCTTCTAGGTCTTGATTACAAGAAATGGAATTAATAGTATTTATATTATCATGCACTTTCTTTTCAATTCTAGCCTAAAAGCACGCTTCTGTACATATTTTAAACCTGTAAGCATAAAGCAAACGTCTCACACTATAGTAAGACTAACTTAAAACATGACAAGTTACTTTTTCTTAAACAATGTCAGTGCTGGAGACGGTAAAACTACAGTTTTAAGATTTCAGCCAGAATTACTCTAGAAGTTGTACCATTTAGTAACACACAAGGTCATCTAGAGATATATATTTTGATGTTAAATGAACACAGGTATATTGAATTTGCAGACAAATAGCATACTTCACGATTCTATTCCTTCCAACTTTTTTGTTTCTTCAGTATGGAGAATGCAGTAGTATTCTATGATACTGCAGAAAGAAAATACTTTGTTTTACTTCATAGTGAGTGCTGCTTCATATCACAAGGTCATTCTGGACATTCCCTTTGGGAATAGCTCAGCATCCTGTTCAACTATGGGAGTAAAAGCTTCCATATGCCAACTTCAAAACAACAGGAGAAATGTGAAGAAAAAGAACTCCAGGGGTGGGGACAGACACACATGATGATGACCAAACCTCGATATTGGTAAAACAGCACAGTGTAGCTGTTGGAGTAATTATCTCGAGTCTCTTAAATGAATGAATAGTTTAAGTGCATTTTGAATAGGTGAAAGCAGAATAGAAGAAAATCCTCCTAGGATCAGTTAATTCAGAAAACTAACATACCAGGAAACCAGATGAAGGACTCTGAATCCTTTATGTGCTAATATTTAAGTTCTGGAATATTTATTAACAGTGTCTTTAAAAAAAGAAAATAAAATCAAACAACAAAAAACCTCTAAACCAAATCGCAAGAAGTGTTCTAAATCCAATGGAAGACAAACAATACAATCATCCTTGGTAGTCAATTACACAAGATAACTATTTGGGGTTTTTAAACTTTAAAAAAAAAAAAGCCAGCAATTTTTCCATGTCATAGACTATTAGGGAAATTGAAGGACTACTTACTCAAGTCAAGAACATCATCTGTCTTTATCAGGTCTTCCTCCCTTGTGAGCGGTAACTGAGTTTCTAGCTCATCTCGCAAGTGCAGGGATAGTGAACGGAGCATAAAGAAAACTCTGATTGCCTTGAGAAATTAAAAAAAAAAATTAAAATATTGCTGTACTCAGTACTACATATTTTAATAGAATCTTATGAACATATACTAGCTTTTATAACCCCAGAGTTTGTTGTCATGCAGTAAATCTACTTTTTAAATTGAGAAAGTAGAAAGTAATTTCAAAGTTAGTTAAAAAAGGAAATGGAACAAGTTGAAACATGCTATTTATTTTCAATGAAGTAGAAGCAGCAGAGCTTTTATCCCAGTGGCACACTTATACAGATTGTGACTGACAGGCAAACATTTACCAGAGCTATTTAAGCAAAAAACACAATCTTGGATTTATTTTTTGTTCTAATCACTATTTTGAGACTGATTGTACTTACCATACCTGTATGCTATAGATAACTACACAATCAACCTTCAGAGACACTCACATTTTTAACCTAAAACAGTAATAACTCTTCTCCCTGAGTCTAGCTAAGATGTCTACCAGTTTGAGAGAAAACAGCCAGGATTTTTGAGTTTAATTTGCTGTGTTCATCAAAACTAACCACGTGCAATACAGCATTCTCAATGAACTTCATCTATGTTCTCAGGAGGTCTACATCAGGGCAAAGCATTCTGAAAGCTGCACCAGTCCCAAGGAACTTTCAACAGCTGCTCTGTGAAATTAGCATTCTTGTTTTGATTTAGAAATTAATGACATATGATATGCAAAGACTACATAAAGTGCCAAAGAACAATCACCATTTTATTAGTCACATTTAAAAAGGCACCATTTATAATCCTCTTCCACTACAAGAACTGTATTTTCAGTATAGCAAATGAAAAATCATTTTTTATTACTTCCAGTGTTCAGGTTTTTCAAATAGTTTCCTACACAGTAATTCTGTGGCATACTGTAAATTAACCGCTGCCTTACAGTAAAAGCATCGAATTCATGGAACAGCTGCAGTGCCCAGGAACTCCCAGATTGCAGGAAGTACTAGGAAAAACAAATCTAAACTGAGGGCAAAACCCTTCCCCCCTCTATTTTTAAAATCAACAGAACCAGAAACATGCTCCCATGAACCAGAAATGTAAGCCCTTGGCCAGCTATTATACTGGTGGTGTTTTCAGAAACTTCTGGCAGAACATGGAGGAAGAGAGGGAAGTCATGTATCTGGCTCTTCCATGAACTGACACCAGAACAGATGAAATTGGTATGCTGTTGAAATCTAATAGGACAATATGATTGTTCAGAGCAAAGAATGTCAAGGGTCTCTAACAAAAATACAACACTAACTCTACCTTATACATAAGAGCAGAGTCACTTTATAATGACAGATGCTCTCTTCCATTTAGGCAGATTGCATTCTAATGTATTGTGGATTTACCGAAATTAAACAGGATTACTACAAAGCAGTTTTACTACCGGATGCTTGAAGAATTCATGGCATTGGGTTTAAAAGTTTTCAAAATCAATCAAGAACAGCAACATCCTTGCATTTTTGCTAACCCAAAAGTCAAACCCAACAGGTTCTGTGGTGGTGTTTTTTTGTTGTTGTTTGGGTTTTGGTTTTGTTGGGTTTTTTTGTTTTGTTTTTAAAATACATTCAGAGGGCAGCCATCACTCAGCCTGCTTTCACTTATTTTTCCCCTCAATCCTCTTTCCC